GATTTTTTGAGAAATAAAGTTAGCTTAGTTATCTAATAATGTGTATTTATGTATTCATGCTCAACTTGTCACACCCGTCACAAAGTCAAGTCACACCCGTCACAGTAAAGTTTGGAACACATAATCTATAATTTCCAATAGCGGTAAGCAACTTTGGCGTAAATGTTGAAAATGTTTATTTAACTATACAACGAACTATTTAAAACCATAAGCAGAAGACATAATTAGCAGAAAAACTCTGATGAAAGTAAGGAGTAGCTAATTTTGTTTGAGTACTCGTCACACCCGTCACAGTGGCTAAAATTCAGATAACTCGTTCGGATTAAATTGTTTTTGAAATTTTTATTCTAGGCATTGTGTATATCTCGGAAACCTATTACAAAATACTCGTTTTAAAGAATTTTGTATTACAGTTTAAGAATTAAGCCTTAAAATGTGAGTTGAAATGTCACACCCGTCACCGTGGAATGAGCCCAGGGAGCCATGTAAATGAAAACTCAACACCGCAGAATTTTTCTGTAGTTGTAGCCCGTAGCGCAAAAATCTGCGAGATTTAGATATTTCCGTGTGAGCTGATTTCTCCCTTCTGTAGATGGTTGCCACTTCGTCAGTTTTGCAGATGGTAAAAAAGTTATAAGTTCGTTTTCAAAATACGTTTAAAATATTTGAAATTGACTATCGAATAAGGTTTTTGTTGAAAAATATGTAGTTTATATTTAGCTAGCATCTATTATAGCACGAAAAATTCTAGTTGAAAAGGTTAGTTTATGAAAAGGAATTGATGAGTGACAACACTGTAGTAAGCAACACTGAGGGCTCCAGTAATCGACAAAATTCTGCGTATACAGTCAGCGTTTAAGTATAAGTTCTACGTTCTTGACTAATTTCACCTTTAGAACCTTGCCACGATCGTATGTACTTAAAGTGGTCCAAAAATGTATGTAAAAAAATAAGGTCGTATTTTTAATGCCGCCACCCCCTAGGATTGTTATATACCGAAAAAAATATACCCATATTTTTTTATTTTGAAATCAAAAAATATTTAGGGAGTGCTCAAAGCGCACAAAGTTTTCCATGTATTTTATATGGAGAAAAAACCAAGGAATGAAACCGATTCAAAATAACGTTCCGGTTTGGGTTTCGGTTTTGCCAAGTGTTTCGGTTTCGGTTTTGGTTTCGTTCTTCAAAATTTATTTCGGTTTTGGTTTCGGTTTCGTTCCGGTTTCGGGTTTTCACAGACATTTTGTTGATATTATTTAAATCACAATGTCTTAAACGTTGAGGAAAGAAAATCAAAAATTACAGTTCACTGATAATATCAACACTAGGTTCTTTCCCTAACAATCCGGACCGGATTTGGTAATTAGAGAATAAGAGAAACATTTTCTTTCAAAAACAAGTCGAGAAACAGCTGATTCACGTTGTTCTTGTTTTTGTCACTTATACCATGTTCTGACCGACATCAGAAACATGTTTTCGTTGCTAAAACTTTTTTTTTCGATTATTTATCGAAGTGGAAGTCATATTTTATCATCTTTAATACGCCATTTCGGATTTATTGTTAATTGCCTGGCCAAAGCAAAATAAGAATGAAAGTTAAAGGTTGTAAATGAAAAGAAAATGAAGGAAAAATGTTTTGGTTGTCGGTCAGAACATGGTATTAAATGCAAACACTTGGAAATTGAATTTTGGTTTCACAAATTTGATTTTAAGTACATAGATTGAAAATACATCAACAGGCCATTCACTTTTCCTTAAAAGCACCAAGTAAATGCAGGCAACATGTAAACACAATACAGCTGATATGCACTTTGACACTTTATCCATTTTTACTCGGAGAAAATTTCGGGCTATTTCGGGCAGGAAGAAGAATACACTTAAGGCGCTGGCCCAATGCAGGCTTGCTTTGCGTGCCTTGCTGACTTTAGTTTGCTTTGATTTAGTTTGAAAACTTGTTTGGTCGAATGGCGGCTTGAAACGCTGTCAAAGTAATCAGCTGTGTGGTGGAAAAGTCAATGTCTGTTCCCTGCGAAATAATGTTTGTATTTAAAAGAAATGGTAATAATGATACATACATATGTATATCTACATTTACTAAAAAAACTATAACTTAGAAAAGCGATTTACTTAAAGAAAAGAGCTATAAGAAGTTTTTCTTCCCGTGTAAAATTTGTAAAAGTGAGCTTTGCAATTTTTTACTATAATATAACGATATGTTAAATTTCATTTCGAATTACTTTTTTTAAATTAAGTAAGCCAATTTTTGTTTGAATTTATGTATTTTGAACAGGAACATGCCTCTTTGTCAAAAGCCTACAAAACGCTTTCAAATAAAACATTTGTCTATTTAAAACTTTGATGCACTTAAAGCAAGTGAAGAAAAGCTCCCATTTGGCCAGCCTTTATACATTTTAGTATATTCCAAATAATTTTTGACACTTCTCGGAGCGAAGCAAGCAAAGCAAGCCTGCATTGGGCCAGTGCCTTTACGATCGAATACGCTCGAATTTTCGCTCTCTATTACCCATTTTGTTGAGTACAGGCATGATTTCTGGGCTATTTTGGGCACACGCGGGATCTCGCATTGCGTACGGGAAAGAAACTACTTAAATATAATTAATCGATTATCGATTCACAACAACAAAGTCATCAGCAGATTTTTGCGAAAAGTTACCTTTCCATACTTATTTACTACTTAACAAGAATTTTAGCAAAATCTTGCCGATTTTGGTTAAATAAATCATTTATTTCAAAGAAATTTGTATTTATTATTTTTGTAAATTTCTGGAAACCGATTGAAACCTGTGATTGAAATGGTTTCGGTATCGTTCCTTTTCAGGTCAAGATAACGGTTACGGTTTCGGTTTCGGTTTTGAAAAACGAAACAGTTTTAAACGGTTACGGTTTCGGTTTGGGTTTCGGTTTCATTCCTTGGAAAAAACAATTTTTCGTAGAAACGGTATAAAACTCTTGAAAATCAATATTTTTCGACCGGAAAACTGTGGTTCTCTTCAGGAGACTTCCAGTATTAATATCCAATTGTTTATTTAACCATTTTTTATGATAAAAGATTTTTTATTGGTCCCCCCCATTGCATTTTCTAAGGGCTTTGGAGGACCTATAAAATATAGTTACCATGAAAAAGTTGTTAAAAAAAACAATTGGGTATTATTACTGGGAGTCCTCTGAAGATAAGTAAAGTTTTTCCGATCGAAAAATATTGACTTTCAAGAATTCTACACTATTTCAACGAAAAGTTGTTTTTTCTCTATATAAAATACATGGAAAACTTTGAGCGCTTTGAGCACTCCCTAAATATTTTTTGATTTCAAAATAAAAAAATTGGAGTATATTTTTTTCGATATAGTTCAATCTTAGGGTGTGCCGACGTTAAAACTCCGACTTTATTTTTTTTTTTGACCACCCTAATGTACATACATATGTATGTATATTCGTAAGTAAGTCAATTCTGTTCTGTATTATGGCGCTTTCTTTTCTCGAAAAAAATCTCACCTTATATGGCAACATTATCAGAGTGCAACACTTTAAGGAAAGAGCACGCAATATGCATGTGAAGATGCTGAGAAAAGAATACGAAAACTTGGCAGTCCTGACTAAGGGCCGAATAAATGCAACAATATTTCGAGAAAAGAAAACGCTATTAGTTATATAATCCACATCTATATATATATACACATCTATATGTATATCGAATGTACAAAATTTTTCTCGTTCTCGCTCAGTTAATCTAAAGTAAACTAAATTTAACTCATCGTAAGAAATCGTCAATGATTACTCAACACGTCAACATCAGCTAGAAGCGAAAAGTTTCATAGTTTACCGCCCATAATGCCACATATAAAAAATGTATCCAAAAAAATTGTTTACTTTTAAGAAATACAAAAATGAAAATCTGGCAAGCCTGATTCTCTCACTGCTATCAATTTACGTTAGGCCATCAATTAAGAAATCTAGAGTTTCTTACGGTAAGTTAAGTTTTAGCAAACCGCCAACACAGTTTCTCATATAACAAGTTGGCAAAAATATTAAGTTAAGTTGCGAAAATTAAGTCTAGACTAACTGAGCCTTTTCAGTAGTTCTAACTCTGCTGCTGAATAATTTGTTTCTTTAAATAATGAGTATAGTCTCGTTTAGAAAATTTGTATTATGTATAATGTTATTCGCCGGAGATTAAGCAGCTTAAAGCAAAAAACATGTATATATTTTTAAAAGATAAAGTTGCTAACCAGAATCAAATATTTAATCAGTATAAGCAATTAGAAAATTACCCAGGGGGTCGTATTTCCAGTCTTCTCTTTTGAGTTGCTAAAAGTAGATCGTGGGTAAGACGTATCGGCATATCTCCTGGTATTCGACCGCATTCCACACGTAATCTCTCCAGATCATCACAAAGCGACAACTCCGAATCTTCATGAAGGGTTGGCAATGTGGAGCTGCGCGGAAGCGTATCTGTTGCGCTAACAGAACCACTTGAGCTGGCTGAAGTTGAAGGACCATAGACGCTTCCACTTGCACTACAAGTACCTCCAAGAAGTGCATTAGTTCCAGAAGCGTTAATTGGCAAATTAATTAGAGGCGCTACCGACGAAGCTGTTTTCCCAGAACTCAAGAGTAGCGCACAAGCTCCACTGGTCGATGCAATTCCTACCCCACTACTTCCACAACTAGCACCGCTACTGCTTCCACTGCCGGAACCAGCCATACCGCTCCCAAAACGCTCATGTGAAACGGACATTTGTTGAATATACAAAATATACATTTCTGAACACAGGAAGCTAGGATAAATGTTGTCACGTATGGTGGCCTCCACATGTTGCTGCATTGAATCGTATACGTCCGGAGTGAGCGGGACTTCATTTTTAAGACCTGCTTTTATTGTTCGACGCAAGTCTTCAGGTATTGACAGCTGACTTTTTCGTAGGAACCTTTAAATATGAAAATATTGCATACAATTTTCACAAATCATAAATAGCATTTTATTACCGATATATCGCTCCTATTATCTGTTTGATTTTTTCTGGATCAGTTTGTTGTTTTAAACCTTCACAGGCGAAATAAAAATTTAAATGATCATTATACCCAGGTGCTTCTTCTTCAACATATTTTTTAAATAGTTCTACACCATCACGATCTTCCAGAAGATGATGAAGTGTTCGGGCCCAATTCAAATATGACGGTGGTGAGTTTCGGGAATTGTCAGCCACCCCTTCGGTCATCTGGAATTCAAAAATTAATCAAACACACGTACTTGTTTAGAAATCAGTGGGTAAAAATAAGAATTATGCATGTAGGTCGTTAATCTTTGTTAAATTATTTACCTTTTTAGCTCGACTTTCTTCTCCGGGTACAGGTGGTCTAGGCCCACTACACTCATTATCATCATATTTCCGGTATCCTGATGAATGGCTCATGCCACTTTTTGTTTTCCCCTTTTAGCAATCTGTAAGTTTGACTGGCAAACAAATTGAATTTGTTCCTAATATTTATATAAAATAATGCGTCTTTTCTTAAAGCGTTAACAGCATATTTTTGATTGCATCTTATTCTACATTAATTGCTCCTCGATCCAATTATTACTATGCAAATTAAATGTGCATTTATGCTCTATTAAAATCACGAATGTCCGTTGTATTTAAAATACTAAGGACTTGGAAGATATTTTATAAAATAAATATTGTAATTTTTGGAAGGCAATCTGGCAAGGCCTGAAACAAGAGGGTAGAATGAGAAAAACCAATTAATGACAATATTTATAATAAATCAATATTATGTAATAGATAATGTAAAATGTTAAAAACTTCAAATCTCATAATAGGTTTGTTTCAAGAGCTACTCGAAGAAAAACTCGGCTAAGCTCAAACTGCGAGCGTAAAACAAAGAAACCGTCAAATGACGCTTCTTACACAAAAAAATTTAGAAACATTTTTATGTACACTTCAACAAACACGCAAAAGTTTTGGCGACTTTACCTATATCACGCTTTCGATTAGCTAAATTTTGCCAATCGGTATTAGTCACTAGCAACATATAATCTAAAATGCAACAAGGCTTCAATATTACGATAACACTGGTTTACAGCAAAAAATGTTCAATGGATGCCACTATTCAATGTCTCTGTAGAATTGGTCGGTGATTCCGAAAATCGAGTTTCTTTTTTTTTCTATGGATACGTTTTCGAGATATTTGCCATTTATCGTTATTCAGCTTAAAACAAAAAGTGGTTCCACTTAATCACGTATAT